GGTGTCTTTTGTTGTTTTGGTACAAGGTGTAAGTTGACGATAGAGTAGAAGGAAGACGAATTGAAGATAGAGTAGAAGGAAGATAGGATGTATTAGAAACTGAGTCTTCTGTGTGACAGTCATTTTTCCTGTGACTCCATATTGTACGTTAACAGTGACTGCCACGTCATAGAAATTCGAGTGATACCGTCTCTAACGTAAACTTGAAGAATCATTTTCTTGACGTATCGAACTAAGTTTCATTGGCATGAGATATAAGAGAAATAGTAAATCGTTACGAAGAATCTTGACTAGATTCTACTTCATTAACACTAGAACTACCGAGCATACGATTAATACGCAATTCCTATGAAAATTGTAACAATTATCTTCAGTTCCTTCAGACATTCATTATACTCAAATGAAACTATTTTCAAAATCATTCCGAATATTCGATGCTTCGAAGATATCAATAACTGCTAAACAAGAAAATCGAAACCAGTTTTGACTGTTACGGTAGTTCTAGTGTTAAGAAAACTGTTTCGATCGGAGCGCTGGTAGTGTCAGCAAGCTACAGAAACTAAATAGACAAAGAATAAAATTAGTTCGTCGCAAGTTCCTATTTCAAGAGAGTTAACCTGGAAACTCTGAAACACTCGAGTATATACCTCAAGTAGAAACGGTCGGCCACGATCAGACCCAATCCACGTACAATATTTTCCTTCTCGAGAGAATGTTTGTCACTTCCTTCTCCGAGCGCACTCGGTCGAATTGTCTGTTTTAATCCGCGATCCCTCGAACCCGTATCGCAACGGTAGGATACATCGCGCGAGCAAACGCGCCGCGATTTGAACGACGTCTGCTACTGCGGTCTGTTTGCAAAGATCCCGGCGCAATTTTTCGATCCGCCGAGCGTCCCGGGGTCCGCAGCGATACAGGATAAACACGACGATGTCCGCGGTGTCCTAAGGGTAACAGCGGCGAGGACCGTCCGTTGTTGACTTAAAAAATATCAACGCGTCGGCAGGAGAGCGAGCCCTTTGTGGCTTAGCGGCCGTGAGCCGGATACGACCTGGAGATACGGCACGCCCTGCGATTGCTTTCCTCGATTCCCTTCGAACCATTCGATCAGCCCTTCGTTCTTTCTTTTCCCCTTTGTCTGCACTTACTGTCTGCTATCGAACTGTTCGCCCCGAGGCAGTGTTTCTCAACGTGCTCTCCGTGTAATTTGAATACTTTAGGGACAACCGGAGAGACGCTCGAGGAAATAACAGGTTTACCAAAAATGACAGTGACACCGTCGCTGTCGCGAGAGAAACAAAAGGAGAAACGAAAGGCGATTGCTCAACAAACAAACCAGTTCAACGACCTTATTACCCCATCACTGATAAGAAGTCGTAGGGTCCGAGCGTGAATCGCGAAGTCGAAAACAGAATTAACCCTTTGAACTCTGTACGCTCCAATATTGCAGCAACTGTAATACTGAATATTTTAATGAATCAAAGTAACTACCCTGAAATTATCACGTTTTACACAGATCCAGATTTTGTACTGAGAAGGGAAATACAGGATCGAAGGAATGTTAGCACTTTTCATTTTCATTATACTATAAAAATTAGTTGCTAGATTACGAAACCATCTGGAGTGCTAAGGGTCAACGACTAACCTCGCGGACGATCGCGAACAGGTATATTTACGATAGTCCAAGCTAGCGAAGCGAAAACGAAATTTTGAAGAGGAGAACGATGACGAGGAATAAGGGGAAGTGCAAGAGACAAAGGTGACACTTTCGGATGAAGAATAGAGCCACCAGCGACAAAGTACAGGGAGGATCGGAAGAAAAGAAACGTCAGAGGGCTGATCCGAGAGGGGCGCAGGACGAGGCTCTACAGAATTAAGAGCCCATTAGCCTTTCATTAACTCGGCGGCGTATCCGAGGGGGGATAGACACTTTTGTAACCCTTCCTTCAGCAGCGGGAAGAGAGGGCGCGGAGTAATATGAATTTTGCTACAGAGACGCTGTCGGATTATGGTACCCATCTATAGATAAACGAGTTCAATCTGAAGCAGTCGCGGTGGTAACGCACGGCAATTAACCGTGAGAGAGTAATTTATATAGAGCTGCTTACCGCTGATGTTCCCTTGAAAATACCCTTATTCAATTAAACACGATCCTCGAATGTTAAACGCACGGCATTGAAGCCACCATTGAATAATCTTCTTTCAAACACTGCGCGGACCGCGAGCGGAATATTCTCTAACTAACCGATGATCCTCGCTCGTCCTCCGGCATCTCGAGAATTAATTAAAACCACTATTTATACGCGGAACCGTTAAACAAACGTTCGGTCGGGATCCGAGTCGATTTAAAATTCCGACTCGCGGATAAAACCTGTCGATACCAAATCCGCCTTTCTAATCGCCGCGGAACGCGGACGGGGGCGGTCCGGGGAATCCGCGCGGGCAACGGCGGGACAGGGTCGCGCGTCGACTAATCACGGCGAATACTTTTCCGCGGCGTCGTTCCATTAGACGATAATTGACTGTCAAACTCGCGGGCACATCGTGCGGGCGGTCGTTCGACTGTAATCCCAGAAACGGGTTAATTGCGTTATGGCTGTCATTATCTCGGTCGCTGAGCATGCAGTTCTCTGCCGGGCGGCGGGCGGACGAAGGGGGGTTGGCAGGGAGGCGGGGCGCGGCGCGGGGCGGGCGCGCACGTAATCCAGGAAACGTTCCGCTGAAACGTTTACTTCTAAACGTGCGGGGCAAGAGAAATTCACCCCTCGGCCGGTTATTTGATTCCCCGACGCGACGCGGCGGCCGCCGACCTTTCGGCAGGGCCGATTCGCGCGTGAACCGGTCTTTTTTACGGTCAGCGGTGAACGCTTCGCGACCTTTCCCGCGCGCAACCGTTTCGAGGGAGTTTAAACGCGGACGGTGCACGCGCGAGTCTGGTTATCCTGGTTTCAAAGAAGCGGTCGGGGTGGAGGAGAGAGAAATAGAGGGACGGGAAAAAAGAGATACGGGGAAAAGAGGAAAACGGATGAAAAGAGTGAGTAAGGGAGAAATGAAGAGAGGAATGAGGGACGCGAGGAACGGAGATAGCGAAGTAGACAGAATGGAGAGCTATATCGCGTCGCGAAATCGCTTTAAGGGAGCTATTGACGAAACCTCCTGCGAGGCACGTTAGAGCCCTGATATTTTTACCATAGGAATAAAAGCGCAAGGAACCGCTGCTTCGCTAATTTAGTCGCAGTCGGCACGTTTTGCCAGTTTTGTAGATTTACCATAGTTTGAACTTTACATCTGTTTGCCAGAAGTCGAGGCGCTCCTACAGATACAGGCGTTTAGTAATACGTGATAAGTATTACTGAATCCTCTTAACTCTAGGTTTACGGAACCCGTCAGTCTGACGGATACTGAATTTACTAAACATTATTTAGTAATAGTTTAAGCGGACTTCGACTCGAGCAATTACGAGGGTACGCATTGCAATACTCTAGTTTTGAAGCTGTAGTCTTCGCGGTTTCTATAAACGAGCGTGTAGTTTTCTAAGAACAATAGACTAAAGAGTAGAATAAACCTCCGTGAATCTAGTATTAATAAACAAGTTATTTCCACTGAAGTAAATATTAATACAGTCCACTTCCGATCAGTCGCGCAAAGTTAAGTCGGCGACGTACGGGTTTCGCTATTAAAATTTCGAAATGGAAAACGCGTACTCAACAGATAGTGAGGGAAGTAGAGAGGTGTAGAAACTGGGGAAAGAGAACAGAGACAGAGAAGGGAAAAGAGGCAGCAGATAAAAAAAGTGAAGAGGAAGGGAGAAATGAAGAAAAATGAGGGACGCGAGAAACGGAGATAGAGAAGTAGACAGGGAATGAAGAGCTATATGTACGGTGGAAAGAGGAGGAACAGAGTGAGGGAAGTAGAGAGGTGTAGAAACTGGGGAAAGAGAAACAGAGACAGAAGGGAAAAGAGAAACAGTGAAATAGAGGGAAAAATGAGGAGAAAAGGGAGAGAGAGACGGGAAGTTGCGGCGCAGCGGTGCAGGATAGCTCGCGGAACACGGTCTATCCGTTTGCCGGTTGTCGCCGGAGCCTATATCCCGAGGAGAGGCTCCTCTCCCTTTTGACGGAAGCCAACGTTAATTAACGCGCGCGGCTCTGCCTTCTTCGCGTCGCTTGTCGTTACGTTAACGCGTTTTCCGCTCTCGCGCTCCCGTTCCCCGGCGGGCGGCCGAGTTTCTCCGAATTTCCGCGAGCGGAGAAACGCGGGCTCCGGCGAGGCGAACTTCGCGGCAGCCTTCGACGCCCGTCTCTCCCAAACAATGCGCGCCGCGATTTCGGGGAACGAAGCTCTCCGATCAGTTCCCTGTTGCATCTGTTACCTGGACGGTTCGTTAGGATTGCGGAGGAACTGGCGAAGGCGAACGAAATGAGTTATAGACATATTTTCCTCAACACTGTTCATTGACGTCGCGGAGAATCGTGATGACGTCGGTAACGCGCAGATGAGAGTCGCTGAACTCTCGTCGGAAAGTATATACGCGAAGAAAGATGGAAAAGTAGGAGATCGAGAAGAGAAAAGATTCGGAAGACAGAGAAGAAGGTGAAACGACGAGTAAAGAGATGTAAATAAAGAGTGGAAAGTTTCCAAGCCTGAAAAACCTTTGGAAAATCCAGGATCGCGCGGGTCTGGTCGCCAAATGTGTGATCGTACGAAGCAGACTCGAGGAACAGTTATAACGATAGAAAGTGAAAAAGAAGAAACCAGTGGCGTAAGCTTTTCAGGATTATGGAAGATTGAAAAACGTAGAAACCTGGAACTATGAAGATCGGTGCTCGTCGATGACCTGTAATTAATTCGTGTAGAACAAATGCAAGGTTCGGTTGTTATACTTTCGTACGATCGGGATAACGATTATTTTCTGGGTCGATACGGCCGAGCGTCAAAGCTGAGTCGAATCGATTCCCGAACAGATAACTACCCGTGCGGCATTTGAAAATGGAACTTACCGGGATCGGAGGAAGGATGAGCCCTGGTGAGTCTGCAGAGTTGCAGCGGCAGATAACGAGTATCCGCCCGCGGTGGTGACTTCGGCGGCGGAGGTGTCGCGCTGAGGAAGCCGCGCTGCAGCTCCCAGCCGACTTCCTGGATGATCGAAGCCTTCCTGAAGTACGGCGTCACCTCCCTCAGATATTTAACTGTAACAGGCGGAAACGGGGTCGAGCCCTGTGAGCAACGGCTGCCAGGAAATTTGGACGGCGGGGATTCGCGTAATTCGTCTCTGATAACGCGCCTCCGACGCACACTCGTGCACCCTCGCCGCTCGGCTCTTGCGTTTATATTTGAGTTGCGGGAACGTCGTTCGGCGAATGTTTGTACGTGTATGGAGCGCGATGAGCGGCGAGCGTGCTGATGGATTATTAACCCTTTGCGCTCCGAAGTTTTTCACTGGAAATATTTCAACACTTTCTGATGAGATGAGGACGATACTTCGTGAAGCTAAGACGAGAAATTCACGTGAATTTACGGACAAAGATATTTTACGGCAATATTTCTTAGATTGATGCATTAGATGAAGTATGATATTAAATAAACTTTATAGCTTATGTAGGAAATCAAGTGATGACTGAGTCACTTCTCGAGTGCAAAGGGTTAAGCTTTGTATGGCGCATCAATATGTGAAATATTGAAATAAAATAACTATCCTCAATTTATACATTTTTCCTCATTAATTAATTTCCAAGAACATCGTCTGTATCTCATTGGAGAATATTGAATATTTCTAGTGAAAATCTTTCGAGTACAAAGGGTTAACCGTTATACTGTGTATTCGATTTATCGATACTCGAAGACAATTTTGTACATTTTAGGGCTGCGATATTTAATATCTTAAAAGCATTCAATAATTGAAATGATCTTGAAAATATATAGTTTCATTTGAATACTATAATGAACGTCTAAAAAAACTGACAATAATTTATTGTTACAATTTTTATACGCATTACATATAAATCGTATTAAATCCTCGTTCTAGTGTTAAGCAATTAATATAACTCAACGTCATCCGCATAAAGTTTCGAATATTCCAAAGAATCTTCGTCCGTAAGGGGATAAATCACCGATTATCAAGATGTAAACGAACGAATATCAATTTCTCTAGTATCAACACAATACAGTGTAAAATCAATGTTGAACCTAGTGTTAATCTTTCGCATTCTTCGAAATTAACATAGTCAATAAACGCCGACGTCCGGAGAGCCGTCTGAAACGAACAAATTCGCCGAGCGCAAGGCAAATTCGCGGTACGACGCGAAGTTCGTGCCACTTCGACGGTATCCGGTTGTCCTCCGAGGAGCCGCGCTTCCACCGGAAGCGGCAGAAGCGTTTTAATCCTTTTACCGTGTCACACTGTTGACCCAACTCCCTCTCTCTCTCCCTCTCTACGGTCACTCAGTTTTTCACCGACCCGGTTCTACCTCGATAAACCTCGCCAGATTTAGGCAAAATGTAGAACACTTGACTTTAATATCCGCCCCCACTTCCCCGTAATTTTTATAACTTTCCTCCCGTGTTTCAGCTGAGATCTACCATCAGCTAAACTCGAGCTCCGGAGGATTCGTTAACGTTAACCCGACATTACGTCCCATGAATCTTCCAATTTGCCTAAACGAGAATGTACCTCCTACACGAAAGAACCAGTATTAAATCCCATATTCGTTTCTGTCGCGTCGCTAAATCGCTTTAGGAGGGCTATTGACGAAACGTATTTTTACCATAGCAGGAATAAAAGCCCAAGGAACCGTTACTTCAATAATTTAGTCGTAGTTGCTTCGGCACGTTTTGCCAGTTTTGTAGATTCACCGTAACTTTTACCTTACATCTGTTCGCCGGAAGTCGAGGCGATCCTTGGTTTTATCACTCGCTACGGTCAGTGCCAAGAACGCTCGGGACCCTTGCGTGGGTCACCCGGGGGCTGCAATCAGCAACCCCTCCAGGATCACTGGTTGAGTCCCACTCGAACGAATTTTTGTTCGTCCGCGCCCACTATCTGGAAGGCTACGAATCAGGAAGCTTCCAATTTTGCACACGCCTACCCAAAGGTTCATAAAAACCCACGCAAGGTACGGAGACGGGAGATATAAGAAAAAATTGAACTAGACACACGAGACAGAGTACATAGACGTCGTAGACTCTCGCCGCTGACGAGTATCACTGAACTCCCAAAAATAAACAGCAAATTATTTCCACTGAAGTAAATATTTATACAGTCCACTTCCAATCAGTTCGCGCAAAGTTAAGTCGGCGTGCGACGTACGGGTGTCCCTATAACATTTCGAAGTAGAAAACGCGTACACAACAGTTCCGGCTAATTACATCGCGATGTCTTCCCTGCGATCCATAGAAATCAATTCTAACCACCGACGCACACGTGCGAATCTAAACCGACAGGTGAAACAAGAAACGAGTTCGTCTCAACCACGTTCCTAGCATCGAAACCGAAACGGCGGAACGGTAATTCCATCGCGGCCGGATGCATCGGCCGATCCATCCCCGGTAATTCCGGTAACGAGAAGCGAACGGGGGCGGAATTTTCGGGGGCAGAACGACGCCGCAACGCGATCAATATTCCTCCGATCGGTTCGATATTAAGCCACGTTCCTCCGCGCGAACGTATCTCGGCTTTACGAGCGGTTTTTACGGATGCCCGAGCGGATTCGCCGTTTCAACCCCCGCTGTAGGGGCGGGCGGGGTCGCTCTTAGGCGGCCGTGCTCTATACGTTTCGGGCGTTTCGGTTGGCTTTCGCGTCAGGATCGCGGAGGCCATCCTCCGAGTGCCGCAAAGACGTTTCGCTTCCTTCGCGCAACCTTCGCCGCGCGATAGCGGCCGCCCGCCCGGTCTCCGCCTCGCTCGGCGGGTTCCATCGAACTTTAACGAGTTCGTCCTGTATGTAATCGCGCCGGTGGCGCAGCCCGACGTCGAAACATCAACGACAAATTGGATTTTCAAACGGTCGCTACGTGACCGCGGTGCATTATCTTCCCCTCCGGGCCGCGCGATCGGGATCCGCGATTTACGAGACCGGCCAGACTTCTTTCGCCCAGCCACGGAGCGCCGGGAGTCCGCGGGCGAAAGAAAATTCGAGGGAACGGTGGTAGGGACTCGTAAAACGCCGCCGGGAAACGAGCGCACGGGCTCCGCTCGTGAAAATCGCGCGTTACTTCCCGCGACCCCTTTCTTTCCCGGCTTTCTGACCGCATCCCGATCTTAATTAGAAGTTCCCCGGCTACCCGGGCTTCGTATAACGAAGCCTGAAGTTAATTGTTGCCGGTCCGCGCTGATTGGAAGGGAGACCAGGGAATCTTTCGCCGTTCGGGCACACTTCGGTTGTGTTTCGGGGGCGTTTGCGTGAGCGGAGAATCTGATGGTTCTGTAATTTCGTCGTGAGAGGTAACGGATTTAATACTTTGAACTCTGTAGGCAGTATTAGACCAGTTATAATATTAAATATTTTAATGAATCTTAAAGAAACTACCCTAAAATCATTAGATTTTCCACGCGTCCAAATTTAGCACTCAGAAGGAAAATAAATAGAAGAAATGTTATAGCATTTTTCATTTTCACTAGAGATATAAAAATTAGTCGCAGTTGCTGATAAATTACAAAACCATCTGGTAAGAGTTAGAAGTCTACTAAAAACAAAGGAGACCCAAGTACCAGAAATCCAGAATAAACAAAGTATATATCGTCAAGAAACGTCTTTTGTAATTTTCGCTAAGAATACTACAAAACTTGCAGTTGCCGATAGATTACAAAAAATCCTGGAGTGCTAAGGGTGAACTACATACGTTGTACTCAGTATACGGAATAAATTTCGATCGAATTAATTATGGATCTTTTATTCTCAGCGAAATCTATATCACAGCTACGAGTTGTACGCCACGGATTAATCGTAGCTTTGAAGCCGGTATCCAACGTTTCCGCTGGTAATTAATGTTCATGCATCGTCGGTGCGAATGTAGACTGAAGATAAGCAAAGAGATTCGAAGATAATCTAATTTTTCGGAGTGGTTTAGCGAGCCCGGGGGTTATAGATAATACGCGGAGCGCCGTTGCAGTACGATACATCGAATCCCATGACGCGAATATTCTCTATTCGTGGGAGCTCTCGAATCCCGCGTCGAATGTAGCTCATTCGCTAAACGGACGCAATCCCAACGATGCCCATTGATAAGCGGCCGAACACCGTGGCCGTAATGCAACGCGGCTGGAGCGACCAATCTCGTCCGAGTGTCGATGGCGCAAACAGCCATCCGTCTGCTGCGCGACTCGTCGCATTATTAATAATTAGATGCGCTGGCGCGGCCGCGCGTCTCCGCTGTTTGCGCCGCGATTTCAATCGAATTGAATTACCGTTCCCCGTCATCGTCACCCTGGAATTCCAACGGCCAACATTTACGCCGCGAATCCGATCATCGATCATCGGCCCTTCCTTCGTGTCCACAACCGACCGATCAATGGATCCACCCGGACGAAGATGTGTTTGCGCCGGTTCGATTGTATTCTGCTGGATTCTAAAGTGCTCTAACGTTCCGCTTCGTTTCTCTGGGATAAGTATTCCTGAATCGAATGATTAACCCTTTGCTAGATTTTAGATTCGGAAGACTAGGTCGTGGAAAAATGATCTAATTAGTCGAACAGTAAGAGATTAGCACGTAGTTTTCTTTCTTTCTATTAAAAATTTACATTTCTATCAAAATGACTAGTTTCGATTGTTTTGTTTCGCAATGATTAATACCTTAAAAGCATTGAATATTCGAAATGATCTTGAAAATAGATAGCTTCACTTGAATACTGTAATGAATGCCTGAAGAAACCGAACATACCCTTTTGTTACAATTTCATATGGATTACATATCAATCGTGTTCCGTAGTCCTAGTGTTAATTAAGCAATTGATATATAATTTAGCTTCATACATTGAAGGTTTTGTACGAAGAATCTTCGTCAAAGGGTTAAAATGTCGCGTACATTACTGAAACATCAATTCCCAAGGTCTCATTAACCTAACAGAACTCAAAGAAAGACTGTATTCTCCATAGAAGAACAAGTTCACAGCGCGACGCTCTAGTTCGGACGAGATCAACATCAATCCACGGAACTCGAAAATTCCGCGCAGCATCGATCACAGAGAATAAGC